GCAGGGAGCCCGATGTGGGGCTCGATCCCAGGACCCCGGGATCATGACCTGAGCTGAAGGCAGACGCTTAACGACTGAGCCACCCAGGCGCCCCATGCCTTTTTTTTAATGAAATTTTTATTTTATTTATTTATTTATTTTTGCCTCTGCTCTCGGTAGTCATGTCCTTCTTTTCATTTCTACTGCGTACTTTTACCTTCTTATTTCTTCCTCATCAGTTGCACCAGAAGTGTGTTATTTTACTTGTCTATGTTGCGCTACTACTTTGGGCTTTGTCAGTCTTCTCACTTATGTATTGTTTTCCATTTCATTAATTATGGATATTATCTATAATATTTCCTTCTGCTTTCTGTAGATTTAATTTTATGTTTTTCCATAACATCTTAAATTTGATCTAATTAATTTTCAAGCTCTGCTTTTCTACTGTAAGTTTTTAAGGACCTGTTTCTCTATATTCCCTGAATTTTTTTTGCTGTATTTTGATTATAACTTAGCCCTAAGAATATTTAAATTGCCTTTATGACTTTTTTAAATTTATGAGTTATTTAGAAAAGTTTTATGAATTTCCAAATGTCTGGATATTTAAAATTTTATCTTTTTGATATCCATTTTCAGCTTAATCATTTGTGCTCAGAGATGTGGTACTCTGATACTAATTTGAAATTTGTTGGGATTGTTATTTTATGTTTCTGTGACTTCTCAGTATCTGAATGTTTTGTTTTCTGCTCACTCTTGCCTGTGGTAGCTTGTTTCCTAGTTTATTCTCAGTTTGGGGGTTTGGGGCTCATATTTTGTTAAACTTAATCTGTGGGAATCCAGAGAGCCTAAATTGGGGGTACTTTCCCCAGAGAGGATTTGCATTTGCTTGTGCCAGAATCCAAATGATGCTCCTGACCTGGAACTGTGTTAGCCCCTCAGGAGTCTCAGTTCAATCTGTTAGTCCCAGGTTTTCTCCAGTTCCATGGCTAGGCCCAGGCCTTAGCCTCTTTTCACGAGACTGATATTGGCAAACCTGCTGCTCCTGCTGCCTGTTGCTCGTCTTTCATACAGGTTTCAGCTTAATGTTATCTTTTTCTTCCTTTCGTGATTTCTCTTTCTAATGCGCCCAGCAATGTGCTAAACATTGGTTTTTGTTTTTTTTTTAAA